CATGGTAGAGTCCCTGAGCGCCAGCCCTTCAAATCAAACCGGCACTTCCGCCTCTCCCTGGAATGGCTAGGACGGCCGCTAGAGGGCGTTCTGCCTCTTCTGCAGCCCCTGTGGCCTCTTCTCTGGACTTGGGTGCTTCCACCCATGCCTGAGGTCTCAGAGGGTTCCAGATCCCCACCTCCCAGACAATCTGGGCACAAAAACGCAAGACCCTTTTAGAAACAGCATTCCTGCTCAATAGCTGTCTGGCTTAAAGGCGGAGCCTGGCACCAGGAGAAGGCAGAAGAACAGCTGTGCAGCTGGGCCTGGCCTCAGGCGGGGCTCAGGCAGTGCCAAGGAATAGGGGGTTGGACAAGGAGGAAATTCAGCCTGCCTTTTGGGCCTTGGTCCCCTCTGTCTTTAATCAGAGATACCCTACCCAGCCACCTGTCAGCAGGGTGAGGCCTGAAAGGGCCTGTGGGGATGATGGGGTGGGCAGACAGGGCTGAAGCCTTTTAGAGACCAGAGGTGGACTTTTGATGGCCATCACATCCTTTTAAATCACAGAGCTTACCTTTCAGGATCGCATTTCTACATCTTGGGAGATTTTGTTTTTGTGCTCAAATTTATGAAAGAGAGATGGACACGACACTTGGAGTTACATGTGTACGTGGACACCCGGGAACCAGAGGGAAGGGGAAGTGGTCAGGATCAGCAGTCACCTGAGCACTGGACAAGCCATATCTTCATCGGCTGGGGTCTCCAGGAGTAATACAGGACTGCTAGACTGGCCTCCAGGCTTCCCAGAGTTTTTATTTTTACCCCAGTGATTGAAAAGCGCAGACACCTTCTTTCCAGATAATCTCAATGGTAATGAAAACCTTACAATTACCTTTCACCCTGGCAGCCTTGAGCCTCCTTGGGTGCACATCTCGTCCTCATCCTTACAAGAGACAGCTGAGTGGGCAGAACAGAGGTGGTTGTTCCCATTTTACAGATGATATAACTCAGACCCAAAGAGGGAAAGTGACTCACCCAGTGTCACAGTGGATCTGAATGTCTCCTGAGTGGTGCTGTTCACCATCATCTCGCCCCAACAGCCCTGGGAACTAAGCAGATCAGGGTCCCCTGGCACCTAGACCCTCACTGCTTGTCTGTCAGCAGAGAGCTGCCCCTTCTTGGGAGTGGTGACGGGAGGGAGGAGGCTCCAGTTCTGCTGGGTACAAATGGCATCCACTCTCTAGGGTACTCTCCTTGATGGCCGGAGACTGGGTGAGAGCTTTTTGCAAGATGCTTCTGACAAGGTGCACTTAACATTCTACTTGGGACCAAGAAGCTTATGAGCAGGTGATGGGCCAGCCTGGCCCTGCCTGCTGCCAGCTGCTGGGATGGTGTCCCTGTTGTCCTTGGTGGGGGGGGGGGGCGGTCTGCCAGACTCCCCACCTGTAAGGCCTGTTCACTTCCTGCATTTCAAATAGAGCCTGGCTCTGCAAAGCTATGTGAAGCCCGTCTGGTGCAGGTGCAGACATGAGCAAGCAGAGGCTCCCTTGCTTGGGTGACACCAGGCTCAGGCTACCAGATAACCACCGGGCAGAGCTGTGCAGTGCTGGGTGCTTTCCACAGCCAGTTCACTGCCGCTCCCCTGAGTCTCACAGTGGCCCTGGGAGGTGGCAGGGTGGGGTTACTATCTCATTTTACACATAAGGAAGCAGATTACCCCAAGTCTTTTGCCAAGTGAGGGATAGAACTAGGTGGCCAAGCCAGATCTAACCTCCAGCCCAGAGCTAGTGATGCATGAAAAGCAGGGCAGATGGCACCAGGATCTAAAATAAGGAGGGGAAAAAAATACCTCAATTACGTAACAGTGAGAAAAATCTGTAAGCATATACACAGTAACAGCCACAGAGCACTGCCACATGAGCCATCCCCTCCTTCCCTTCCCCCTTTGGGCTCCGGGTGCCACTCCCTAGGAGAGCATATGCCAGAGGAGCCCATTAGTGTCCCTCCGGTAGGAAATGTGCCCTGACTGGGCCAACACTGCCCCCATCAGTGGCATTTCTGAGGGCATGCTCTAGGAATGCCGAAACCCAACCTTGGGCAGAGACAGATTCTGTAGCTGCTCCCAGTGTGCTCGAGGGTTGTACGAGCACGGGGCTTGAGAATCCACAGATAAGGATGTAGAACAAGGAGAGCTACGGGGCCCTGGTGCTCTGCTGGAGACCAAACAGACAAGGCCTTCCTGATGTGCAGGCACTGCAGAAGGTGGTTTGTGAGTAGCAGCTTCAGAAGTGTAGGGTGAGACTTGCTGCCCCAGGGACCAGGGCCTTGGACTAGGGCTGGGACAGGCTGCTAGGAGCCCCCAGAACCTCAGAGGGGAAAAGGAGATTCAACCACCATCAAGCCTGACTCTCAGCCTCCAGAGAGCCGGCCAAGCCTTGAAGTCCTCCAGTGACAAGAGGCTCATTACTTCCTGAGACAACGTTTCCTTGGTTGGGGAGAATTTATCCAAAGACTGAGCCAAAACCCACCACCCCTAACATAACTCCTTTGGCAAGTGGCTATGACCCAGAACTGCACAGGACACCGGGTGTTTGGAAATGGCCGGGTCACGTTCAAGAGCCCAGGTCCCTCATTTGGCAAGGTTTCCATACTCCTCACGCTGAGTGGCCACCTGCGTCTCCTCAAGCAGCTAGAACTTGGAGACAGGTTTCAGTATCTTTGGTGAGATGCTGACAACTTCTTACGCTCGTGTGTCCGCTTGTGAGTCATCTTTTATCCGATCCTCACCAACCGCTTATGACTTAGGCGGGACCACTATTGCCATTTTACAGATAAGGAAACTGAGCCTCAGGGAGGCGACGTGATTTGTCCGAGATCACAGGGCCAGGAAGTGGGAGAGCCAAGACAAACCAGGCTTGGATTCCATCCTTGGGGCCCCTTCCTTTACTCCCAGGTTGCCTCAGTCTCCCTATCAGGGCCCTTGAGTTAGGCTGGACCCCACTCAGTCAGAGGCTGGCCATGTAGCCCGTGAGGGAGTGATGGGGGGAGCACTGAATTCAGCTCTCTCCTAGCTCACAGTTTCGCAGAGTGGAAGGGAGGCTAAGGCTTGTGTCTCACTGCGGGTGTGGCCTGTGGGATCCGCCAGTGGCCTGGGCACGGGTGAGGGCCTGAGGGTTGGAGAGAGCAGGCCAGGGCCGTGCCTGAGGACCATTCTGGCTCAGCATCGATGGGCACATGTTAGAGGAGAGAGAGAGAGTGAATGGGGACCAACCTCAGGGGATGTTGGGGCCCAGAAACACCTTGTGCTGCTCTCAGTGAGACTTAATTACTCTGTAAAATTGGAGGCTGCTCCCACTTATCAAATTATAGATGAGCTTAATTACAGCGCGTTGAGTAACCACACGGGGTTCCTTCAGAAATAGCAGTGGGGCTGGCTGCTCTCCTCAGCTTCAGCCGCAGCCACCTCGGTTTCTGGAGGAGCTGCCCGTTATTCTCAGGGCCAGGGTCTCAGTGTTGCTAAACTCTGCTCTCCGACGAGAGTGGGCTTGGCAGACTGTTCTGGGCACCCTTCTCTGTGGGCCATCCAGCCACGTGTTCCATTACTGGGCTGTTTACTCTGCGGGGGCCTCTCTCTCTCCCCTACTTAACACTGTGTTCTGGCCAAAGGTTTTGATTCATCACGTCTCACTGAAGGTCTACAAAGTAGTGCGGGCCTCACTGTGAGAAGCGAAGAAAGAGCACTGCTCTGGATGAGAAAGCATGCGCTCTGTGAGACTCTGGGGGCACCTTCAAGGAAACAGGGTAAAGAGTGGCAGGCCACGGGGGACTAGTGATGTAATGAAGGGCATCATAAACTTCCCTGCAGGCTGGCA